TAGAGTCGCGGGGTTGTCGCAGGGATAGAACTCCCGATGCTTATATCAAAATAGTGTTTAGGGTGGCAACTGTAGAGTATGTGTAGAAGAGAAGAGTCTGGTTTTACCCTGACCTAGGTCATCCTTTTATAGAGGTCGGACAACCTAGGTATTCCCTCTGCAGACGGAGGACATCCCAGCCCAATAACTTGGTGGACTATACATTGGGCCACCTCGGGACCTTGGGCTTAAATGTAAAATTCCTCAAGACGTTGGCCCTGAACCGAGGTTGGGTCTTAGCCTTGACATTAGGCACTAACGGTCCTTGGAACACACGTACTTTTATTCTGCCGAGCAACGTGTCGCCTAATAAAAAGTATATTTTTCCCTCATCAATTGTCCCCCATTTTATGTATGAGATAATTTTACGTGTACAGAAAATAAGCGATGAGACATTTACAGATGAATATATGTATTTAGTGAATTTTCGGTCTTGTTGCACATATAGAAAGTCAAGATGCTTGCAATAAAATGTCTCACTCTCATTTCTCGCTAAATTTTATTTTTAGTCTACTATGTTGGCCATTTTCTGAAAAATGTCTATCATATAGGGTGTCATCAATAATGGTCCACTAAGTTGTCACTTTTGATTGTACTAAAAATAGCGATCACTTTTAGTACATTATCTTGATTTTTGTATGAATTTTGATTAAAGTGGCAACTTAGCGGACCATTCTTGATGACGTCATATATGATGGATTTTTTTTGGAAAATGGCCAACATAGTGGACCATTTTTAAAATATTGCTCTCATTTCTCTTCTCACTTTTGACATTGATATTTTCTATAGAGAGAGATAGAGAGAGAGCGCATCGATTTTCCACGCTCGACTTTAGCTTTTGAAAGTCTTTAGACCCTGGTAAATTTTTTTCCTTACTATGTTATTATTTTTCATGCCTTCGGTAGCTAGTTATTATTCGATGACGTCCGTAGCGCTAATAGTTACCTTAAATAACATTTATATTTTATAGTAATAACTTGGACGGATATTAGACACCTCGGTAGGTAGAGGAGTTTCGTCGGAGACATCGGTAGTCCGAGAACGGATTTTTGGAGACCTCGGTAGGTCGAAGAGTTTCGTTGTATTCCTCGGTAGTCCGATGATGAATTTTTGGACACCTCGGTAGACCGAGAAGTTCCGTTGTATACCTTGGTAGTCTGACGATGAATTTTTAGACATCTCAATAGATCGGGGAGCATACATCACACATCGTCGTCACGTCCTTAGACTAACGTCAAATGTTTCTTCTGTCATCATGATGAATGCAAATGTTTTCCATTTTTATTTGTCCATTTAAAACTTATTCTATTGAAACTGAAACTAAAATATATTTTTTTTCAAACCAATTTATCTTACATAAACCAATTTTTTGGGTAAGATCATATTTTATATATATAAAAACCTTATATCCAATCTCATCCTAAATGATGATTTTTTATANATTTTTGGGAAATATAGAATAAATTGAGCGCAAATTTATTTGGGATTTTTCAATTGCTTTTAGGACTCCAACTTTACTTATTAGTTTCTTAGGGGTTTTCACTTAATTTGATTCTTTTAGGATTTTTAGTATTTATGTTTCTAATTGTTAGGTCTTGTTTTTATGTGTTTTTATTTTAGTCATTTTAGTTTTTTTTTCCACTAAATTTCTTCCTTTTAAGTTTAGTTTAAGGGACCTAACTAATATTAATTTGAGTCACTTTTTTTAAGCTTAAAAAGTCAAAATAGAGTAGCAGGCCATGATGATTGACCAGAAGAAAAACAGGTATGGAAAATTGAGGCAAAATTTCAACCAGCCATTGAATGAATCTATCGATAGATTATAATAGATTTTATTTATTTTTTCAATATTGCACGAAGATTACTGTATAATAGGGTTCTCTTAGGATGGCTTAATTTGTTATCACATAATATATTTGTTTTTGAGAAATGGTATAGATATATAATATTGTACATAGAGGTGTACATAACACTCATATTGTGTGGGACCTACCAAAAATAAAAAAATCAAATAAACCCCACTCGATGTGAGTGTTATGTAACTCGTTATATAAATTTATTATGTACTTATAGCATTTTCCTTTTTTTTTAGCTGTATATATATATTATCAGTTTATCACAGTCACATATTAGATATTACCAACATTTATTTATTTTAGGATGAGAAGACATTATACTCTTCGAATTAATTGATTATGTGTCCTTAGACTCAGAGTATCTTTGGTCAACACCACAATATCTTGAGGGCATCATTGGTGGAATCGATAATATATATCACAATTATTTTCGTTTTCCTATCTTTTGCGTTAACTTTTTATTAATTAAGATTATATTATTTATTTATTTTATTCCATGATAAGTATTACTAACTAATTATAAAATCACATCAAATAATATTATTTTCTAAAAAGTGTTTTATTCAAATTATTTACTTAGAATTGTTACTTTTTTTTCAACTCATCCTGAGAGGCTATGTGAACTTTGAATATGAAAACCATAAGATGTATTAGAATATCACTTGTGAACCCTGAACATGAACACCATAAGATTTATTGACCGCGCGTCGCGACGCGGCAAATTTAAATTTATAAACTTTTCCTCGACTAACCTCTACTAACTAGTAGTAGTGGCGAGTAAGGGTCGATCCCACGAGGAGCAGGAATTAAATCGTGATGATTCTCGTATTAATTGAACTAAACCTACGAAAGCAATAAAGGTGGGGGGATTGGTTTTATAAAAAATAAAAATAAAAATAATAAAATAAAATAAGAGATCAAATAAAATAAGAGAAGTCCAGTTTTCGGTTCAGTTATCACCCAATCTAAATCTACCGTTAATTAATTTCGACGCTTTCTCTAGAATGCTAATGAATTACCGACCCTAGCTAACAACAAGCTCTGTTAACCGAATTTTTTCATACCGAATATTTAATCGAAATAAGCTCTTCGACTAAATCTAACTAGCGGACAACCTAGAATAAGCTCTCTAGATTTAATACACTAGCAGCATTAATTACGAGGAAAATAGATCAGTCTAAGCAATGGACGCAAAAGCTCGGACCATTTAACTTATGTTCACGCTACCCTAGAGATGCACGACCCCTAGTTTACTACTAACGAAACGAGACAATAACAATTACGGATTAAAGCCTCGAATCTAGCAATTAAACTATGAATATTTAACGTAGTTGGCCAGACTAAATCAAACACCATAATTCATAAACATTATACACAGATAACATGAATCAACTCATCAACAAAAATAAATACGGCGTCTCGATTAATCAACGATAAATAAAGATCATCCAATTCATAGACAAATCGGAATTAGGGTTCAAACATTCCCTCAAACTGGATAAAAATACTAACCTAACATGCTAATAAAAATAAATAATAAATAAAAGAGAGAAAATAAATCTTCCTCGCGTGCGGGTGCGGCTTCCCTCCGCGTGTGTAGCCTTTTCTCTTCGCGTCGTGCGTTTCTCTCTCTGTGTGCGTTTTTTTCTTCTGGCCCAAGTTCTTTTTTTGTCTCTTCGCCAAAATAAATTCCCCTCAATCCGTCCTCCTTATGCTGCGTGTAAGTCCCTTTTTTTGACCAAATAATTCCACCCCAATTAGGACTCCTCCAAGAAAATATGTTCCCTTTTGTGTAATAATCCCAAATAAATACACCATTTAGTTCCCGTGAGTGTTTTCCTTGAAACTCTTTTTAATGCATTGGCCCACCTTAAGTGAACCACAAAAATCAAGAATTTTGTCCAGATGCATGTAGCTCCAATAGAATTAATGGGCCTTAGTCGAGCCGATATTCGAGCACCCCGATAATTTCTAATTGAGCTCTCGTCAACAGTTTTGCCATCCACAAAAATACTCTAATATGCTGAAAATAAATATAAAAATATCAATATGTATGGATCCATCCAAATAATAAATAAGTCGAAAAATATAAACGTGCGATTAAATTAAGCGTATAAAAATACACTATAAACTATATAAAACGTGCACATTTCTCGACCTATCATTTATTAGAATATCACTTGTGATCCTGAACATGAACACCATAAGAAGTATTAGAATATGACTTGGGGTTGTCCCACATCGTTTAAAAATGGGTATGGTCTCACGCAGATGAAACGCACCATAAGCAGAGAATACCAAATGAAGCCCAAGTGGGGTTCCATCCCAAAACTAATTGGTGGAAGGAGAAGTAATTCATTAGACTTATAACGTAGGTCTATTTTCCATGTATAAAAAATTTGGGACAACTCACAAGTGATATTCTAACAAGATGAAAATGTAATATGTTAAAGGCCAAGTCAGGAATACAGTATATGTCGGGAAGATGCAAAGAAGAGGAAAAAACAAGATCAATGTGAGTAATATTCATATGAGTTAGCATTATGTATCAGAGGTAAAGAAGTTGAAGAAAACAAAAATTGTGGACTCGAGATCATGTGATTGCAACATCCAAAATCAACATAACAATGAGATTTACCTGCGGTAATATACATAGTAGAATTGGAATGGATAACTGTTTGTAGTGCTTTTGCCGAGTACGATTGTAAAGATCAACCTCGGGTCGTCTCTCAAATGAAGGTTGTTCGGAATCGAATTTGGACAATAATTGATTCACACAAAAGGAAATAAAGGTATAAACACCCTAATCGCAATTTTGGTGGTTGATTTAAGCTAAAGATCGCAACTTTACGCTAAAATGAAAACGCAAGCAAGTCCTCAAATTGTAATAAAACAAGAATCAAATTCTTAAATAATTATTTAAAAATTGGAATAAACATTTGATTATTTACCAACTTTTTTTCTTGCATGTATTATTTTGTTAATCCCATTCCCATGTGTAGAAAGTGCACTAATCATTCATTGGCCGACCATTAGCATTCAGATCTTTCAGCTCCTTCCATTAGCGCACGCAGCACACCCCGCTCGGAGAGCTCTGTTTCTGCAATGGCGGTTGGATCGACCCGGAAAATATCTGCCGCCTCCGCCCGGGCGCACACCCGCCGTCCCAAGGCAAAAGCTGCTTCCAAATTCTCAGGTGGGCTGGCCTCCATATATTCTCCTCTTTCCCCCTTTTTTGTTTTCTTGTCAATTTTTGTACACTAGCTGATTTTGTCGTTTGTACGAAGCGTTTAATTTTCTCATCAGAGCGAGGTTTAATGATTTGATGTTGCCCATAACTGAATTTGGTCATTTATGGTATAAAGTTGCGGTCTTGATTTGGTTTGTGTTTAAGAGTGGGTTGGTGAATTAGTGGCGAAATTTTGCCCGAGGTAGTTTGTTTAGTGTTAAGTGTTGGATTCTGAGGTTTGATGGTGATGATTTGATGTACTTGCAGCTTGCAATTTTTTGTTCTGCTTAATTTCTTGTTCTTTTCTTGAAAAGGGACTTGAAAAGCTCTCAAGAATGTCGATGGATTTGACTTTCGAGATGGTTGAAGTAAAATTAGAAGTAACTGGTCTAAAACTGTGTGAGTAGTGCAATTCTTAATTGACATTTGTAAAATTTGGTGAGAAAAAAGGTTTTTCTAGTATTATGAACATGAGATCTGGCACATGGTAGGACTTCTGTTCCTCTTCATCTGATTGGTGCAGAAAATTCAGAAGGATGATATTTGAAACCCATCATGTTTATTCATGTTGGATGATTCAAATATCATTTCCAACATTCGAAAAACGGTTTGACTTTTTTCGTGAGGTAAAAAGGTGAGATTTTAAGATCTGGAGTGCTGGTGCAGTAAGGTCAAAGTGGCAATGGACTTGATTACTGGTTTTACAGCCTTGATATTAGGAAGTCACTCCTATATAATTCTTTAATTCAAAAGTTTCAGCATATTCAATTGAAAACTTCTCTGTGTTTTTGTCCAGCTCTTTGAAAATGAAAATTTTCAGGGATATTGAAGAAAATATTGTTAATTGGGTTCGTGGGGCTTTTAGCTTGGGCTTATCAGACTACAAAGCCTCCACCTCCAAAGACTTGTGGCTCGGCAGACGGGCCCCCGGTTACAGCATCGAGAGTACAGCTTAAGGATGGTAGATACTTGGCCTATCAAGAATTTGGCGTACCTAAGGAAATCGCAAAGCATAAGATAGTGTTTATCCATGCTTTTGATTCTTCCAGGCATGGTGTTTCTGCATTAACTGCAAACCTCTCCCCGGTAATGGTGTTTCCTTTG